CATATCATAGTTTTTGAGGTGAATTACATTTAACCTGATTCTCTCCAAAAAAATATGCAGTGTGCAAATTATAATAACTAATAATTAAAAATTGTATGATAGTATTCATTGGTCCCTGTGCCATTCATGCTTTTCTTTCAAGGCCAAATGGTGATTTCTCCAGAATCCATTTCTATAGGTATCCTCTTCAATTAAACAATATCGCTTACAGCATGCTGTATATTCTCTAAGAGGTACTGCACTCAAATCTGAGGCATTTATCATTGGAATCCATCTCAAGAGCCGAGGATCTCCAAGCTGGAAGTGAAGAGTGCCCGTTCACAAGCACTCAGCACCCATGTGTTTGTTTTTGCCACCATCACTTAAAAGTCTCATTCAATTCCGACTCCCAAATGGCTCTTGGTTTTTTGATCTCACTGACAAGAGATGAGCAGATACTTATAGCCGAGACGATCCTGTTTGCAATTTCAAGCCAATGCTCTGAAGCAAATAAATCTCAAATATTTTTTTAAGCATAGGCAGAAATCCCTGCTCTGGCATGATATATTTCACTAGTAAAAAGATAAAAAGATTTTGATAAATGAGAAAATGAATGATAGGACTGTACTGTAAATGTATCAAAAATTGTAAACCCATGTAGCCGGTATAAATACCACAAATACTTAACGACACTCATAAAGGTAAACGTCAAAGAGGATGATATCGATACTGCTGCAATCCATCACCTATGTATTGCTCAGCTCAAAATAAAATTTACAACATTAGAAATGTGATACTCAATCAAATCTCTGGTGGATTCTCCGTCGCAGTCTAGACAAATGTAGTCGACTGGTGGATCATATCTCAGCAGAGGACCTTACATGTGCTGTTAGACAGCAATCTGGCATTTTAGACCAGAACTCTTTATCCAAATCTGATGTATTTGTTTTTTTGTGAGTACAAACCAGACTAAAACCCAACATTTAGAGCTGAAACAATTAGTCGATTGATCAGTTTATTGATCAAATGCAATTTTTTAAACAAAGTGCCACACATTCTCTGATTCAAGATTCTCAAATATTTTTCTCTGGTTCATATAATTATAAACTGAATATCTTCAAGTTTTACACTATTGGCCAGACACAAAAAAAGCAATTTCAAAACATCACCTTGAGCTCACAGAAATTACAACAGACATTTTGTTACGATTTTCTGCCATTTTATAGACAAAACAAAATCAATTAACGCAGAAAGTACTCAACAGATTCATTGACAATGAAAATAACTACCCTACTAATTGTTTGGTAGTAGTGTAAGTTGTGTATGTACATGGAATTGAAGGGTTACGGTGATTACTGCTGCTGTGTGGCAGATGTTGCTGTTGTGAGATCAGAGATCAAGGTTTGTTTATTTACAGCCATGACCCTTTCATCGCAGTCATTAACAGACTGTTCTCGATCAAAAAAATAGGCAGTTTTACAGCGTGTATTACTAAAATACTGCAATAACAAAATTAAAATGATTGTTGATTGTTGTCAGCCACAAAAACCATTACTGCTTTTTCTATTTCTTGAAAAATGTTTGAAAGAGTGGATTGAAAAAAAGGGACACACTAGATTAAAGTTTATACACCATTATTTTAATCATACGCAATTTTTAGAGCACCTTTTAAAGGGCTTTCCATAAGAAAAGAAAAGAAAATTAAGAGAAAAAATACGTAACTTTATTTAACCGGGTCTCAGTGAGATTAAAAATAGAGATTAGTAAAAAATCCTCTTGTGATTATTTTGACAGAAATTGAAAATAGGATGATAATTTTTGCATACAAACTTTCATTATTAAGCTAATGATGATGTGACATTTGTTGGGGTTGTACCAAACAAACATGGAGAACATGGTTAGTACTGCAGCACTACAGTCCCTGATTTTTAATGCTGTTGTGTCACACATTTTACCTTCATCAAAAAAATTACAGCTTCTGCAATTTGGATATTGCGCTTGACCATATTCAAATCCAGTCTCATTTGACTACCACTGTCCACTAAAACACAAAACCACCTGTTATGTAGAAATGCTGGGCACCACTGCTCACATGTGTCTATCTGTTTCCTCTACCTCTCTTAACCATCCATTTTAACAGTGACCTCAAAGCACTGAGGTTTGGGCTGGAGAAATGAGTGATCTTTCCCAAGTGTACAGTTAGTCGCTGTGCTGCTGCTAACACATCACCCCTCCAACCCACCAAATCTCCTCCCCCTCCTACTCCTCCTCCACTTCTGTGGTGCATCACCCCACTCACTCGCTTTCAGTCTCTCCTTCTCTCTCCTCTTCACTCCCTGGCTTAATATTGATCTGAATTCATTTGTTTCCTATTGATCTGCCACTCCACCCTCTGCCGCATTGAACAAACACAAGGACACACACCGTGCGTACACAAGCCTCATTCACGCACCCGTACAGATGCAGCACACGTGCACGCACACACACAAACATCTACGCGAAGAAAAAAAACGCCTGTTATATGTAATCTGATATAAAGGTTAATATGCACACACACACACCCACACTGCAGACAGACACGCCAGCAATCACACACTCTTCATCTGAGAGATTTCAGAGGCTGAAAACATGAAGTTGTGAGAGGTCTCAGCTCAAGCATCAAACAAGCTAATGACATACAAAGAAACCTGGATTCCATATTGATCCAACACCTCAGGAGTGAGATGAAAACATAGGCAGCCTATGGCTGGCACCGGCAGGCGACACAATTACAGCCGCAGTTCATTTCTCAGGTTTACTGAAATGTAGTCATTAGTGTAACAAATGAGAGGAATTTAGTTTGGTGGCAATTGTTCAGAGAGCTACGTTAGCCAAGATGTCATTTGTGGCAGTAATTGTGTATTTCTTGAAAACCCTTCAGTCTTCAGAATAAAATTATCACATTAAGTCAATCACGTTTAAGACCACACTATGTTAATTTATGGGCTTTCCAAAAACTGCATCATAAGGAGTACAGAAGAATGTAAGAATGGGTTATAATATACTAAAGGTCCAGAGCAAAAACCTAAACAATTCTCAATTATACAGAAATAAAATGTAATATATGAAAATGTGTTGAATACATCGCAAGGAAATTTTTCTTACCATTGACATTGTGTTAGCGGTCCAAAAATGGCCCTGCGTTAAAACAGCACAATGGGCTACTTTGGTCGGGTGTGTTGCTTCAGGTACCAGTGAGCCATGAAATACAATCCAGGAAGTCCAGCTTGAGTAACAGATCTGTGAGTTTGAATGCTCGTCAGACACAGAAAGAGGAACACTGGTTTATAACACTATGAAAACTGTTCACTGCTGAGTTTATTTTATCTTTCAACTCAACAATCACAAGGTAACAGTAGAAATACGGAGTTCATTACAAAATAATCTACAAGGAATGTGCGCTTGCATGTATTTGATTGGCCAATGCAGCATTTTGCGTGACAATGTTACGTTGCGGTCTGTCAAAAGTATGGCCAGGTTGCCACACCTTGGTGGCAGAATGGTTACAGCGCATGCCATATATCCACAGCATTGCCAGTTTGACTCCACCCCCACCACCTTTCTTGCATGTCATGGCCCTCTCTCTCCCCCAATCCAATTTCCTGTTTGCCTTTTCAATCGCATGCTGTCCAATAAGGGAGAAAAATCCCCTAAAAATGTCTTTTAAAAAACTTTACAACTTTTTGCCAAACATCCTTGCGTTTTTTCTGTCGGATCCCTCTGCGTTGGTACCCCGGAATCAATGAGGAGGCTGTGTTGTAGTTTCTTTCAAATGAAACTCACAGAGGAGTAAATAGTGCGTTTGTTAGGGACTCTTTTCAGCTGCAGAATGTGCTAGTGAGGATTTACGCCACCATGACATGGGGGTCACTCAAAATAAACTATAGTGGTCATGTTCATGGTAATTAAGGAACATGTCACCCACTGTGGCTCATTGATTTATTTTTAAGATCTAGGACACAGAAGGAGAAAATATATCAAGCTTTAGCTACAACTGAAATATTTTATTCTTTAAGGCTCGATGTTTAGTTCAGTTATCCAAGTAGATAATGCCGTCTTCAGTAAGCCATGACAGGCTGACCAACCTTTCTGACGGCCCCAACTGCCACTCCAAATTTTTGGTTCGTGGCATCAAGTTGCCATGACACCAGACTGTTTTTCCTGCCCTCTGACCTCCTTTCAGGACATGCTGTGCTCAGTCAGACTGCATCTCCAGCAGCAGCTTTAGTTCAAAGTGAGGGGGGAGGAAGAGGCAAGGGGGAGAGGCTGTGTTTCCTCTTGGTAATATTAGATAAGATGCACCACAGGCAATACCCGCTCTCCTTAAGTGAATGCAGGCAGGAACATGCAGACCCATATACGTACGCATGTGGGAATTGTTGAGCGCACACCGACACAAAAGCCGCACATATCCGTCTGTTGTCTTTCATTGTGTTGCCATGTCATAATTATTGCATTTGTTTGGTTCACTGCTGTTTAATTTATGTCGGATGTATTTTTCTAGCATTATTAATGCATTATTCATCACCGTTGACTTTAACTGTCTCCGGCGCTGTACATGTATTTTTGTACCACCCTTTCATTCATGCTTAGTTGATGCCGCAGTATTCATTCTCACAATTATCTTACCACTTTGTTAATCCATTTCATACTCTGCACACAAGGTTTGATGCTTCCTCTGTCATAAATGCATGCGTTTCTATTCAGTTCTTTGTGCTGCCGAGTGCTTCATCTCTAATCAGGGATTGGTCCATTATGATATAATTATCTTGTAGTATTCTTTAATGATTGAGCCCAGGATGTGTTTGCTGAAAATGTCACTACCAGACTACGTGGCCTGTATAAGCCCAAAAAAGGTTGGGTCTGGGTGGCTAACTTTATTTGTTTACTTATCCCAACTTCATGGCTAAAAGTGTTTATTGATGTTCCCCTTCCTATCCTGTGGTATGCTAAAAATCTGCATGGTACTCTGCTGATTTCAGGAATGCCGTGGTCAACCATAGAAGCTCCCCAGTGAGAAGAGAGCCATGGGAAAAACCTCAAACTTGATCCCGGTTGTGAGGTAAATGCTTTGGCAACATCTGTTTCTTCCCGTTTACACCAACAAAGACTCTTTGAATTTGACTGAAATGAAAGAGAGAGCAAACAGCTTGAGACACCAGAGCTAGCGATGGAGAACGTCAGCTCCAGGTGTACAGAGAGACATTTTCATGTCTCTTAGCTTCGTTTTCTTCTCTGACAGTCTCTTTCTGTCTCCTCCTGTCCCTGTTATTTTTACTCTCATCATAAAAACACCCATTTGTTCTTAATGAAAATGCGTATTGAAGCGAAAATTTCATATATATACTATAAACAGACTACTTCCCAACTGTTAGCTCTCATACAATAAACCCTGTTGAAGGAAGACTAAATTGGAGAGCTATTATGAATGTTAATTAACATAATTGCACATGGGATCTCACATAACTACTTGCATGATTATGCTCTCTCTTTTTCTTTGTCTGTGACAAACATACACTCAACCAAGAAAAAATATTAGAGTAGATTAGGCAACCAAAGCTGCCTCCTATCATTTGTCACCCACAGAGTCCAACCAGCTAAGAGAAAACCAATTCAAAATGGCCCATATTATTTAAAATAATTAAATATTAAGTTCATGGTTTTGAACTATATTGTCAGAGCCTCCTGCTTTTTATGGTCATGAATAGTACAGAGGTTCTTATGGAATAAGAACATTAAATTATGAGTGTACATTTTATTAAGCGGTGCGAACACGCACACTCAAATAAAAACACGCTTTCTCCTCTGCTACTGACAGGAAACTAGTCGACCCAATAGCCACTGACAACAGTGCTCTAGCAACCATTGGGCATCGTGCCAAGCCACTGAGGTTGCCTGGTAGTGTGTTCCCATGGTAACATTTTCTGCCTTTGTAAATAAGGTACAACGAGGGTAATAAAGGGGGGTTTGATAGAAATTGCACTACAGAATCTCATTCTGTCTTGAGAGAGCTAATAATTTATGGTTTGTGAGTAGTGGATGCTTATCCTGGCCCTGCACCAAGCTGCCATCCGACTTAAGACATGCATGATCATCGATGGGGATCTCAGGTCTGAGTCCGGCATACAGATCCAGTTTTGAGGGGGACAGGGGGTCTCTAAATGACTTCCTTCTTATAAATAGAATTTACAAAGTAATAATTCCATTCTATGCTGTTGGCTGTAGTGAAGCTGAATTTTGAAGCGTTCATTCATTATTTGTACATTTATCTATTTGTTTGACTATCCATATATTAGTTTTTTCTCATCACTTAGTGACTCACGATAGTTTAGATAAAGTATATTATAGTTTGTTTTACGTTTTGTTGGATTTTTTTTTAATTCAGTTAATTATCAAATTATTATTATCTAAACAGTGTGTGCCCTTCTGTAAAATCAAATGGACCATCAGCGGTCCTGGGCCCTGAGTTTGAGAACCGCTGTCTGAGACCTGCATTCCTGTCGAGCTGGCACTTGCCAGACGTAACAGTTTATTTGCTGTCACTGGGCAGATTTTGCTCCTCCGTGCCCCCACATTGTTTGGGTGGTGCCATAGTCTCTGTGCGTCACTTCTCAAAGACGATGAGTGGTGGAGAGTCATCTGAAATCTTTTAGCTTTCACAGCAACGTTTTTTTGTATTTTTTTTGTAAGGAAAAGGTTTTCACTTTAATTGACAGAAATGTGTTGCAAGGCAGATGACATCTCCAGATAGTCATTCAGTGATCAGTTTTGTTTTTGGTTACGCTTCTCTTGTCAAATACCATGAGGTCTTTCCTCTCTGATTTTAATATACAATTTTGAAGGTTGAAGACCAGAATGCTCATTATTTTAACCTGTCACCACTTCCCACAATCTTGAAATTGATTGTGTCGAAAATAAAAGTCCTAAAAGTCATGCAATATGGCCATACATTTTAAATTTATTTTAGGTGAAAATAAGCAGCAAGATTTCAGAATTTCACTTTTTTACTTTTAATTTCACAATCAGTTCTTTCCCAAACTGATCATCTGTATTATTTCTTTTGAATTGCTAATTTAAAAACTATATATTGAAACAATATTCTATTCATATGCATCAACGAAATTAACTAAATTCTTTCTTGAATATGTTTATTATCAATTACCATCAGTTCAGTAGATGAATTCTTCTTATCAAACCTGAACATTTGTAAAGATTTTCTAGTCGTCTTAATGGATAATCCTCGGCTGCCAGATTTCATACAAAACCCAAAACTTATGCAATGGATATTCCCTCAAAATAAGAGTTTAATTATTTTAGCAGTAATGACTGACAAACAATATGTTATTGCTCAGTATTGTCTCAGCTGTTGTTAGGCAAGATTAACACATGATGATCATGTGCGTGATAATCCATACACCCAGAGTGTTATTGGATGTGATAACAACAATTTAGATGATATTAACAAACTGAATTGCCACAAAATTAAATTTGAGAGGTTTACATAAACACTGTTACAAGCATGATGTAAAAACTGGCTGTAATGACCTTTTTTGGGGGAAAGTAGCCACTTAATTTACTAACAATTTTTGGCTGACTTCATAACGATTCTTATATTTAGTTCTGCTCAGCATCAATTTTTTTCAGTTTTCTGTTGCAACAGTAACTCTTCTTCTCATGGCCATCTTGGTATTTGCCAGTTTGTTCAATGGCGTTATTTTGTTGCGCCTGTGCTAAATTTTTATGTTGTCATGTTTGGCTGAAATAATGTCAGTGTATAAATATCCTTTGGATTATTGTAATGAACATTTATATTTTGTTTTTTAGGCATTCCTAGATATATACTTTGGCTCAACATGATTAATTTGTTTTTGCCCTCTCAAGAGGCTGAACTGTAATCCCCACAAAGCTTCACCTGACCCGACACCAGCAGAGGCCAGGGTGGTGGCTTATACACCACACTGGCCTCCAGTGGAGGGGCTTCCCACCAGACTCATATTGGCACACAAACTCACCCAGGCAGATTGGCAAAGAGCTGGCATTGGCACAACCATGCCGCATTCATGCGTGATCCGACTGCGAATGAGACGGTGAGAGAGGTTTAAAAAGGGGAGGAGCAGAATCAAGGGGATCAGGGGGGGAGATTTAGTGGGTATGAACAGAGAGATTGTCTGAGAAAAAGAAAAAGAAAAAAGTTGTAAAAGATTTTGAGGCCTGAAATGTTTGGTGATGAAGGACAAATAAGAGGCACGTCGAGAGGCGGGAGGACGGCCAAAGAAAGAAAATGAAGGGTAGGCGGAGGGTGGGCTTTTAGCATGGCAGAGGGCAGTGGAGAGAGGCGAGGTGAATGGGTTTGCATTTGGAAGCTGGCCAATAAAAAAAACAATCTATGTCTCCATTAAGGATATGGTGCTGCCGTAGCTTTTGAAGTTAACACTTCAAAAGCTCCTTTTTCATTTGATGATGGTTAAATGTTACAAATTGAGACTGATTACAAATTGTTTTTATCCCCATAGTGTAATTAAACAAGACCCAACATAGCCATTCATCATCTTATAGACTGTGCTATGCAACACATATGATTATGCAGTTATAGTCCTGGCAGGAGTGAGCTGCTTTTTTGAGGAGTCACGAACAAACCACCTTTGTGTTTGCAGCTTTGTCACTGAGGCCCCAATTGTCCAAGACTTCAAGGTTGTAATTTTGGTGCATTGACCAAGCTGAAGAGGAGGCCGAGCAACTCAGCTGCACAGCAGCTGTCAAGTAATCAATGAGTCCTTGAGGCGCACAGGAGGAGTGTCAAAACACCGCCATTGACTGCTAACAACAGCCAATTTGCTGCTTTTGCAGGAGATCACCTCAGCTAGATGTCGAATGTGTGGGTGCGCCCCATTATTTATGGAGTATGAGAGAGACTTGCTAGTGCTGTTACTCCAAATTGTCATCCAATTACTCAGCCATTAGATCCTATTTGTTACACTGAAAACTGCTCTATAATGCACCAATTCCTGCATTACCCTGAATGTTCCATATTAAAATTCAGTGTAAATCAGCTCATAATGTTTTAATGTGTCGAGATGTCTGACACCATTCCTGAGATTCTGATGTGGGGAAAAGTAAATAAAGACACTGGCAAAACATTAACTGGATGTAGATAAAATAATACAGTTATCTGTATTTACAGTTTAAATTGCGGAAATCGAGTCACTCACATTCATTCATTCTTCCATTAATTCATGTACTCACTCATATTTGACCTATCTATGGCTGAAAGAACTGTAAAAAGTATCACTAACTGGTCTCTCTAGGGTGCTTCACATGTGTAACACCATTTGCCCTTGTTAATACGAGACTCGATGGCAGTGACGTGCTGCTCACTACTGCCACTATTCTGTTAGTTAACACTTGATGATAATCCACCTCGAAGGTCACTTTTGCCTTTTTAAGTGCACATCACTCTCCGAAGAATATTTTAACCTTTGTGTGATTGTCACAAAAAGGGTTTAGGATTAAAGGTTAAAACGATTTTAGTCCAGTACACGTCTTTTTGTCAAATTCAGTGAATCTCTCCTCACGGTTCGCTAGCTGTCGGTTCTGTGTGTGCGCTGAAAAAAAAGTCTTGTACACAGCCCTGGCACTGTAAATGGGAAACAAAGTGGCTCGCACCCCACCACACAACAGTATTCCAGCCGTGATTTGTCTGTCAGATAACATATACAGTATTAATGTCTTTCTAGTTGACTGAGATATGCTGTTGTTGTGATGTTATAATATATATGCTATAATAGCAGGAGAGTTTTGAGTATTACTGTCTGGAGCTGGTGTGCGTCTCATCCTCTCTGCACATTAGCTTCACAGCAGCAACTTTAGCGCCAGTTTGCTAACCCACAACTTAGCTAACGTTGGTTGTGTTACTTGCTGTATCGTCGTTTGCTTTATATCGTGGTATTTGTCAGGTTGTTGGATTTCTCCAGAATTGTTTACCCCACCTTTAAGGTCTCAGAATGCTCCAAAGGAACCACGGGCCTGTTTCACAAAATCGATGTGCAAGCACACATATCACAA